AGGGAAAGATGTTTCTTTGAAGAACAGTAGTGAAAAATGCAGAGTATTAAAATAGTCTGGGAATTAGTTTTTAAGGAGGTTTGGAAAAGAGAAGCAGTGTTGGAGTCAAAGACAGAGAAGTGGGAACTGATTCACTGACATGTAGATGTATAAATAAGACACTGAAAGGATTTGTTTTGAGAACTCTAGAGGTGTATATCTGTATGAAAACTGGTGTTTGTAAGACAGTTTGTTATAAACTTAATTGTGGAGTCACTAGGAGGAATCCATAGTAACAAATAGTGCCAAACTGAAACATAATGCTTATCTTTGTGAGATACAGTCTTGAATGTTTGAGGCACATAGTATAATAAATACAAGTTGCGACTGGTGAATAAATCTTGTTAAGTTTTGCATAGGTCTAAATTACATGCTCAAGAATCAGCAAAGCTATGCAGGGAAGAATCCTGCTTTGCCAAAGGGATAGAGAAAGATGACCATTTCCATAACTTTTTATTCTGTACAAAAACATTTTAAGTAACCCTGGAGGTTTGGATAGCCCTGAATAGTCTTTCACAGCACAATTGAGAAGCCCACCAGGTAAAGTTCAGTCATTTTTGAAATTTCAGGACTGTGGGTCAATAAGATTTAAAATAACAAGTGACCATCCTGCAAGCTATAAAAGGCTTTTAAAAGTACTGCACAGTTGGTTACAGTTCTGCGAGTTAAATGGAGAATTGGAATCATGGTCTGTGACAAGTTTAATTCACAGTGTATGTGTAAGGCAGCCTTCAAAGCAAAAGTCCTACCTCTAAACTGAAGGTATAACAATGTACTCTAAGGCAGTGGCTCTCAACCTTTTGTGTACCAGGACCCATTTGTAAACATCGATGGCCAGTCCCGAGCCAGTGCCCCTCACTCCCGACCCACTGCCCCCCCTCAGCTCCAGGCCCCAGCCCCCCAGTGTGTGGGGCGGACGGGGTGTGTGTAGGGCATAGGGAGCCCCAAGCAGCCCCTTGCAGGCTGGAATTCTGCCAGCTGGTAAGGGAAAAGCCATAGTTTCTCAAGTTTTTCTCTCTTAAAGGAGAATCTATTTTTAAAGTTTGTTGATCCATTTTTAAATAGGTTCGCGACCCTTTCATATATTCTTGCAACCCACTTTTGGGTTGCGACTCAGGTTGAGAAATGCTACTCTAAGATTTCTGGTGATGGGCATGAAAGTGTTGACAGTTGGTAAGCTGCACTTGTATTACTTAGAAGATGGTAATTGTCTAACAATGTTGCTAATAATCCTACCAGAGGGAAGCCAAATGGAGAAGTGTCATAAATATGTTACCTTTAGTACTTTTAAACAATGCCTTTATCTGCATAATTTGGTTACTAGATGGCAGAAGGAAAATATTCTGTCTATTCTTGATACAACAGTGCTACAAATATGTTTTTTACACTTCGATAAAATACGTAGCTAGCTGCCATATGGTTATATGTTTTGTGCAGATGAAAATTTCCCCCCAATTATACATTCTCATAAATAACCTATTTTGGAAGTGTGTAGGCTTTCTATTGCAAATGCTTATTAAATTAAAAGGAAAATGTCACAATCTAAAAAAAAAAGGCTACATTTAATGATTTACATTACTGTTTAACACAAGCATGAACATAGTTGTCTCCTTTCAGTTTTTTCCTCTTTAATTTAACTTTGCTGTTTTCCAGGTTCTGGCATGGAGCTAAAATTAACATTCCACTTTCTTAGCATATCACTTGACAGAATATCAGTTACCCTTGCACTGAGTTTTAAAAAAAATCTTACAAAGAACTAGAGTCAGACATACTGCATGCACCTACACAAGACACTTTACTGCTCCTTTACTAATTTAATGTAAAGTAAAGCATCATTGTCTATACGTGCACAGCAATTACTGTGCAGTATATTAGTCTAATGCGCCATTTTCTAGTACCTGTACATACAGGTACTAGAAAAATGGTGTGTTAACTAATGTACTGTACCTCATGTGTAGACACTGGCCGGGAGCAAATTGCTCACTGTCAACCCAGGCAGCAAGGAGTTATAGGGGGTGGGGAGAGTTGTCCCAGCTCCGCAGGGTTGCTGTGTGCCAGCAGTGTGGAGATCGGGACCAATCCTGTTCCCCACATGACTGGGAGAGCTATCCTGGCTGCCAGGCAGCTGCCTCCCAGCCATATGGAGTTTGGGACCCTTCATGATACCCACATAGCTGGGAGGCAGCTGCCCAGCAGCCAGGACAGCTCTCCCTGCCCCGTGGAGATTGGGACGCATCCCAATCTCCATGTGACTGGGAAGCAGCTGCCTGCCCAGCTGGAACAACTGCTACCCTTCTCGGGGCCAGCCTGATCTACCCCCTGGCTGGGATGGAGCTGCCCACTGAGCCAGGACAGCTCCTCTGCCCTCCAGAGCTTGGGGCTAAGCCCCCATGCCCTCTGCCAGCCTGTGGCTAGCACCTGGGGGAGCCTGGCTGCTGCAGGGAGGCAAAGCAGGGCAGGAGCAGTCCTGAACTGGGCTGCTTCTGTTGGGCTCAGTTTGTTCTTCCTGGGGGTGCATGTGTGTGTGCCGGGGAGTGCTTTAATGAGCCTGAATTTTCTGCACAGTGAATTCAGGCACATTAATTGCATGTATAGACATGCCAACTGTGATTAAAATTGTGAGTGCTGCTCAGTTGGCCCCCGTTGCTGTAATGCAACATAATCACTAGTACACAGAGAAAATTCTGAAATGACTGAAAGTGGGTTTGGGTTGCCTGGCTGGATTTTTTAGAAGTTCTGAAGATAAGATTCTCCTGCACATGTCAATTACAGGGTGATTGGTTGCATAACCCAAGTTAAAAACACTTTTTTTGGCATTTATAACTACTGTAATGGTCTCATTTTACTGGCATATAACCCCTGTTTTTCTGTCCTTTTCTCACATTGTTTCTTAGGCCTCTTCTTTTTGACTGTAAGGTATACAAGGCAGGTAGTTTACACTATAGCTTTCGATACTGCCGTATCCAGCTCCATCTGCCCCCCTCCCCCGAAAGTTGTTTCCCAAATGAGATTTTTTTCTCAATTCTTAGAGACGTCATAGAAATTAGAGAGATGGGGCTGGAAGGGACCTCCAGAGGTCATCTAGTCCAACCCCCTGCCTAAGGCAGGATCATCCCTATCCAAACCTTCCTATACAATCTTGAATCTGAACTCTTCGTAAGACTACCATCAAACCCTGAAACAACACAAGACATAACACACTCCCTGTTACAGAGAAAGGCAGAAACCTCCACAGTCTGCATCAGTTTGACCATGGGGTAAAATTCCTTCCTGACCCCAAATATGGTGACTGGTGTGACCCTGAGTGGAGGGGCAAGACTCTCTAGCCAGGAACTTCCAGCTTTAAGTCCCAGTAGGAGCATTGGTTTTCAGTAGGAGTATTGGTATGGCCTAGTCAAAATCCCTAGCCTTGGCTGCAGCCAACACCCAGCGTCTCTGAAGGAGGTTTAAAAACACCCTGACATATGTAGCAGAAAGGGAGGATGGGGACAGGCATCCAAATCCAGAAGCATGGGACATATCCATGGTAGAACATGGGCATAGCTATGCCAGAATCCCTAATCAGTGGTTGTCCAACTTCTTCTTGAACACCTCCAGTGATGGAGTGTCCACAACTTCCCTAGGCAGTCTAATCCACTGCCTCACTGTTCTAACAGTGAAGAAGTTTTTTCCTGATATCCAACCTAAACTTGTTTTGCTGCAACATCAAGTCTCCAGCCTGGCTCTCATAGTGTGTCTTCTGTTGGGATTTTAGTCTTTCTGCCCCACAATTTATCTTACAGACAGCATGTTTATTACATGTATGCACCTCACTAAGTGGTATAATGCCCCACAGGTGCATCAGGGGTAGTACTTAGGAACATTCTTAAGGTTGTATTAATATATTAGTTACTAGTGAGTTAGACCTTGCAAAAGTTATTGAGCACCAAGCGGTCCTTCATAGATTCATAGATTGGTAGAGGCTAGAAGGGACCTTGCAGATCATCGGGTCCAGCCCCTAGGCAGGAAGACAACTGAGGTTAGGTGACCCCAGTGAGGTGACTGTCTAGTCTCCTCTTGAAAACCTCCAGGGTAGGTGACTGCACCACCTCTGGAGGGAATTTATTCCACAGTCTGGACACCCTGGCTGTGAAGGCATTTTTCCTGGTATTAAGCTTGAAGCGACCTTCCAGGAGTTTGTATCCATTAGTCCTGGTCTTCCCTGGGGGTGCCCTAGTGAACAGTTGTTCACTGAGCTCCTGATACACTCCTCTGATATAGCAGTAAGCTGCTATCAAGTATACTCTCAACCTTCTCTACTTAAATAAATTTAAGTAAAGATGCCCAAGTCCCTCAGCCTTTCCTCATATGGCTTGCCTTTCAAGTCCCTGATCATAGGGGTGGCTCTTTTCTGGACCCTCTCAAGTTTTTCCATGTCCTTAGAAGTGCGGTGCCCAGAACTGGATGCAGTACTCCAACTGTGGTCTCACCAGTGCTGAGTACAGTGGGAGTATCACTTCCTTAGTTTTACACAAGATGCATTGGTTGATGCATGCCAGAGTGTTGTTTGCCCTGTTGACCACTGCCTCACGCTGACGGCTCATGTTCATACGATGGTCAGTCATTACCCCTAGGTCCCTTTCAGCCATGGTGCAAGTCAAGCTGTCACCACCAA